CTCAGAAAGGGCATGGGGGAAAGGGGAGGGGAGGGAGTAGTATCTGCCGAGCGAGCTCAGGTCAACCTATTGTATGTTTACATACTGCTTTACTCATTTCATATGTACATACTGTATTCTACTGTATTTTAGTCAATGCCACTCCGACATTGTTCTTCCTAATATTTATATATTTCTAAATTCCATTATTTTACATTTAGATTTGTGTGTATTGTTAGATACTACTGCACTGTTGTAGCTAGGAACACAAGCATTTCGCTACACCCACAATAACATCTGCTAAATATGTGTATGTGACCAATACAATTTGATTTGATTTGAACAGGCACTTAGAGCCATTGGTTGGAGCTGCTAATGAATAGTGTAGTTGCTGTACCTTGTTCATTACACAGGAGTATGACTAGATACAGAGTGACTAGATACAGAGTGACTAGATACAGAGTGACTAGATACAGAGCGACTAGATACAGAGTGACTAGATACAGAGTGACTAGATACAGAGTGACTAGATACAGAGTGACTAGATACAGAGTGACTAGATACAGAGCGACTAGATACAGTGACTAGATACAGAGTGACTAGATACAGAGTGACTAGATACAGAGTGACTAGATACAGAGCGACTAGATACAGAGCGACTAGATACAGAATGACTAGATACAGAGTGACTAGCTACAGAGTGACTAGCTACAGAGTGACATGACAAGATACAGATTGACTAGATACAGAGTGACTAGATACAGATTGACTAGATACAGAGTGACATGACTAGATACAGATTGACTACATACAGAGTGACTAGATACAGATTGACTAGATACAGAGTGACATGACTAGATACAGATTGACTACATACAGATTGACTACATACAGAGTGACTAGATACAGAGTGACTAGATATAGAGTGACTAGATACAGAATGATTAGATACAGAGTGACTAGATACAGAGTTACTAGATACAGAGTGACAAGTTACAGAGCAACATGGCCAGATACAAAGTGACTGATGCTGAAAATGTTGCATTGTTCACTAATAATGATGTGTCCATACTCACTCGTATGTTGGTTTGGTGTGGGACCATCCATACAGGTTGTGTACGTCATAGTGTTTAACTGGGGTACCATCACTGAGGTGCTGTTGGCTGTTCATGCACATAGTCTTATGGTTGAGACCGCGGTGTCTGGACTCCAGGGCTGGAGAGACAAACACAACATACTTACTGTCCTGAACCCAGCAGGGAGAAGGGAGGGTTTAGGTGGTTGTGACTAGGGCTGTGGTGGTCATGAAATTTAGTCAGATGGTGATTGTCAAGCAAATAACTGCCGGACGCACGGTAATTGACCGTTAATTAACATGAACACATTTAGCATCTCCTGGCTTCCACGCATAGCCTACATGCCACTGATGAAGACCTTTGGAACATCTACAATACCGGTCAAAAGTTTTAGAACACCTGCTCATTCAAGGGTTTTTCTTTATTTTTACTATTTTCTACATTGTAGAATAATAGTGAAGACATCAAAACTATGAAATAACACATATGGACTCATGTAATAACCAAAAAAGTGTTAAACATACCAAAATATATTTTATATTTGAGATTCTTCAAATAGCCACCCTTTGCCTTGATGGCCCTGTGTAGCTCAGTTGGTAGAGCATGGCGCTTGCAACGCCAGGGTTGTGGGTTCG